GCTGGCGTAGTTTTTTTTGGTTCAACGTCGCGCTACTGGGGCTGGTGCTCATTCTCGTCGTTTTTCTCTTTCCAGAGACCAAATGGCACCGAGTCCACCCCGGTGAAGACACCCATGCACAAGAGGTGTCGAACTTATCCGATACCGGATCAGAACCAGAGAAACTGGCCGCAGCGGCACATCAGGAGAATGCTCCGATAGAGAGAGGCGATACAGATCCATGGCTTGGCAGAGGCTATCCATCGAAGCAGCAGTTCAAACTGTGGCAGCTGGAAGGCCACAATCTAAAGAACCTGCTGATCAGCTTCTGGGTTCCGTGGAAGCTTCTCTGTTTCCCCATCGTTGAATTTGCTGCCTTCAATGTTTCCTGGTCGGCCAGTGTCTTTCTGACCCTAAACCTCACCCAGAGCGAGGCCTTCTCCAAGCCTCCATACAACTTCTCCAGCCAAACCATTGGCTTCTTTAACTTTGCAATTTGGATCGGGGCATTCATTGGACTGGCGACTAATGGACCTCTCTCGGACTGGATTTCCATGAGAGCCACCAAAAGGAATCGGGGCGTCCGAGAGCCAGAAATGAGATTGCCCGCGATCATACCGTACGTGATCGTATCCATCATTGGAAATTTTGTGGTAGCCTTTGGTTATCAATATCAATGGGACTGGAGGGTGAGTTTCCATGTTCATCCGTGGTCGAAAGGTGTGCACTAATGAGAATCGCACATCAGGCTATTGTTATAATAGGGTACACTGCGGCTGGTATCCAGGTTGCTGCCATTCCAGCTATCACTAGCACCTACGCAGTGGACAGCTATAAGCCGGTTGCTGGCTCGATATTCGTTTCAATCACAGTCAACAAAAACGTCTGGGGTTATGGGTTCAGTGAGTTCATTACACCGTGGGTAGAAAAGAGCGGCTTCGTAAAACCGATAATGTTGAATATGTCACTTGCCGTCCTGTGGTGTCTGTTCGCGATTCCCTTTTACTTCTACGGGAAGCGTTTCAGGAAATGGACAGCAAAGTCGTCAGTGCATAAGATGTGAATTTTGAGCCAGGTTTATTCTTCTTGTTTGAAGGTCCAGAAGCAACAGGCCTGCTGTTGGCTGGTCATCTCAAGTAGCATTATCTGTACAGTAAACACTATCGCATCATTCGTCATCTTCATCCGGGTCGTACAGATCGAGATCCAATGTAGCTTTAGGTTTTGGCATTGGCGCGGCTCCCATCCCAGATCCGCTTGTTGCTGCAGATCCAGCATGCGCTGCAGCTTTGGCGGCCTCATCTGCATGACGCGCTTCTTCGCCGACGTCGACCTGCGGCATCGCATCAGCGATCCCTACACCCTCAGCCTCACGTATTAAGCGTTCAACTTCCTTCTCTGGTTCAAAGCCTGGGCGACCCTCGGCAGCAGCGAGTTGTATTTGCGCCATAAGTCCCAGTCGAATGCGATCTTCCATTGGATACGGTAACATATAAGCCTGACGAGTCATCTTTGCCGATTCGTCGAGCCAACTAGTCGCGTCTTTGGTCACAGATGCGACCGGTTCCGCTGCCTCCGTGTCCTGGTTGCCATTTGTTCCCGTCATTTCTGTATCCGGTCCCTTCTCTTGGATCCTCTCTCGCGATTTGGCCTCTGCAGTCGCTGCAGCATCGGCGGCCGCTTGGTGGTTGTACTTGCTGATCCGCCGCGCAAAGTCGAGAAGTAGCTTGTAGTCCACCTCTTTAATTCCCCGTAACCCAGCAGACCTTGACTTTTCAGCCTGCATATCTTCATCCGAGTCATAGTCCGAGTAATCGTCCTCCGAGTCCAAGTCGCTATCAGACTCGTCTCCACAGGTTGTTGTGATCTCCTTCTCATAGGCCATCACCTCACGTACAATGCTCTTGACTTTCTCTTCCAGTTCCTGAGCCTCTTCACGGAGCCGTAAGATTTTGGCGTAGTTTTGCTGGTGTTGTCGGAGAGTCTCGACGGCGGAAGTCAACGAGTCGTCTGCGTCCAATAAACCGATCGCGGCGGCGGGAGCGCCTGCAGCTGTTGGCGATGTTGTCAGGCTATTTATGAGCACGTTTAGTTTGTTCTCCAGGTTGGACAGGGTGCCTTGGAACTCGACGTTCATTTTGCTCCGTTTGGGCTGTCGCGAAAACGTTGCGATGGGCAAGGATCAAGCTAGGAGCTGCAAATAGTTTAAGGTGTATCGCACTCAATTGGTAGAGCAAATGCGATAATCAAATAAGGACACCGAGTGAAAACTAATTCCCAATATTCGGACCACAACTGGAAAACCTCTTGCAATGTGATTGAGGAGAAGCTCTGTTGTTTTCGGTTCGTTGTCGGAAAACAATGAGATCGCCGGAAGATCCACGTGATCGTAGCTATCTAGCACGTGACTGTGGGGTTCCTGCCGGTTCTTTCCGCCATCGCAGGCTGTCATTCGGTCAATTCCCCAGGAGGAACTAATAAATCCAATGTCGGTGTCGGATTTGTTTGAAGTACACCTAATTGCAGTAGTTAATGCTCTCATAACTTTCAGCCTCAATATAATGGCGAACTCGGGCATTTGTACCAAATCCTCGCAACATTTTACTGATATCATCTCTGCAGCCTACTTAGTATATCTTGGCTACGCCTAGTGCGACCTGCCACAAGGCTTTCAAAATGTAGAAGGATCTAGCGTGACAAATGACACACCATACTTTTTAGTATCTCACTACTATCCAGCGCTGAGATGTATGTGACACTACTCGTGTCTGTTGTAGGCCCAACGCGTTATACGCCCTTCCCTTTGACATGATTTTCCCAAGCTAACATCGCGATTACAACGCGTCAAGGAGACCAACTCTTACATACATATCCGCGCCAAAGAAAGGATATCTGAGCGGGGTGCGAGATGGTTCTGTTCTGGGATGGCAATAATGACGTTTGCTCGGATATGCAAGTGCCGCTTTTCTTCCCCAGTGGTACATCACTAGCAACGCTTAGAGGCTTTTCTGTATCTTAATCAATAGTCCGATGCTCTTCGGCTACTTGTATAAGGCGACAAAATCATCAATCATGAAAACTCCATTCACACTTGCCCTTCTTCTATCACTTGTCGGATATCAACCCTGGGCCTTGTATCTAGCAGAGGTTTGCGAGGAACTGGGGCCTCAGCTATCAAAGTCGGCTGTGATATCTGCCTGGGATGCAATCAGATATGAGCGCTGGATTAAGTCCAACGCACCTACGCCTGGTGTTGTGGTAACACCGGCTACTGAGCAGGATGTGGCCGCAATCGTAGGTCCTTCGTTTGTTTTTGCATGATAAGGATTGCAACGGCTAATGTTAAGTCCTACAACAGGTCTCATATTGCATCTCGAATAATATCTCATTTCTAGCCCAGAATGGTGGGCATGGATGGTCACAAACGATTCACCTGGATGAGGATGGATTGCTCATCAATCTCAAACAGCTTGATGAAGTCACCTTCAGTAAGAACAGGAGAGAAGTGATTATTGGAGGTGGTGCCTCTGTTGCCCAAGTAATTGAGGCTTCATCCAAGAACAACGCTTTAGTTCAGACTAACAATTGCAACTGTATTGGGGCTCTGGGGGCTCTTCTTGGAGGCGGATATGGCACCCTGATGGGTTTGGTTGGCTTCGGGATAGATAACGTACTATCTCTGAATCTGGTCATGGCTGACGGCTGTCTGCACACAATCACACCCAAAGACATAGATCTCTTTTGGGCTCTTCGCGGTGCTGGTCCCAATTTTGGCATTGTCACGTCCGCAGAGATGAAATCATACCCTGTTTCAGCCTCTGGCCAAGCCGCCTGGACGGGGCAACTTGTCTTCTCTGCCGACAAATTGGAAGCTTTGGTTGATACAATCGACAGGCTAACTTTAGAACCGGAAATGAGCGTCTTTATGTACTTTATGACCAGTGGTGAACCAGACAATGCGCCTATGGTTGCTCTTATGCTATATTACTACGGTACCGAAGCAGTAGGGCGGGCTGCGTTCTCATGTTTCTACGACATAGGTCCGACTAACGACACCACAATGGCAACTGAGTACGCTCACTGGGTTGATGCATCCAGCATGGCCTGTTCAAAGAGTGGGTTCAGAATCCCATACTCTGCCGGACTTAGTAGAATGGTCAGCAGCACTTGGAAAGAGGCTTGGGAGGAGTATGTTTCTTTCGTTTCCCTGGGCGGCACCGGTCAAAGTCTGGTCCTCTTGGAGGCGTATCCACTCGACAAGGCGCGCTTTTTTGGTCAAGATTCGTCAGCTTACGCCTGGAGAACCAAAGTGAATTTCAACGCGATGGCTATAGCGTGGTACATGGACGACAGCCTGGATTCGGACGCGAGAAAATGGGCTTCTAAAATGCGTGATCTATGGAGATCGACTGACGGATTGGACTCACCTGCTGTGTATATGCCCTGTATATATATCTTTGCCAAACTGACTTCGTCTGGTTCGATTCAGGTACATCAATTTCGCCTTCGATGAAGATCTCTCGGTGGTGTATGGCGACAACGTCGGGCGTCTGAAAGCGATTAAAGCAAAGTATGACCCTGACAATGTTTTCTATCAATGGTTCAGTCTGTAGAGGTGGAATCATCTCGGTTGTTCGTAGAACATGCCGTGGTCACGAGAAGGAGAGGAGGAACTACCGTACTCCAGTCTTCACTGCTGAATCTATTCCCTATGCTTGACTCGTGTAAAGATATTCAAGTAAATGTACCATTAATTGTTTCTCCATTGAACACATCACGGATCAAAGCCGATGCCCGAACTGTGCTAAGATCCTGAATATCCTAGCAGTCCCACCACATTGATATCCGTGTAGTAAGAACAAACCGCGATAGACAACCGACGATAAGTGCCGCAGCAGAATCTCGGATCTAACCCCGCAGACTGCGGGGCGTGTTCCGCCGTGCCGATAGCCAAGCTTGAACCCTGAAATTCCCGCCAGGATGATTTCTCCCTGCGACATACTTTCTGATCCTGAACTAGAATTCCACCATCTATAATGGCCTCCAACTCTACTTCGCTTCCATCTGCCCCGCGCGTCAACCTGGGCGACAACATCATCCTTCAACCCCCTCTTTCACGATGCGGACAGGGTCCAGGCCTGATTCTGATAAGATCAGCCAATGTTGCAGAATGCCAAAGCAAAAACACCAGTCTAGACCCAGAGCCGCTGCAGAAGTGGGCCGAGGAAAGCTATGCAGTCGCGCAGATCACTTTCGACTTGGACTCCGGCGCAAACGCTTCTCTACTGTCGGTCATAATTGACAGCGCAATTGCCGGCTTAATCGCCCTTCCTGAATGCAATAACAAGGAGAAATTTGGCATATTAGGTCTATATTCCCCCAGTTCGAAGTTATCCGTTACACACACTAACGTGGACCTTAGTCTACGGCTCCCAATCTGATTACGCCCCAACATTCATCCACTCACTGCTGGCCCACATCAGTGACACAAATAAGTTTGCAGCAATAGTATACCACAGCATTTGGGACGCTTCATCCAACACTCCAACACTCACGCACATCCCGGGTTCCCAGGCATCCACTACCAATGGTACCAACTACGTCTACCCCGACGTAGTCTCCCCAGGCTTCATCATCCCCGGTCACCCCGACTTCAAATACTCCACTGCCAGTGTAGCGCATACCCGTTCCCTCACCTTCCTCAAGAGTCACCTGAACGGGCCATACTTCGACCTGGAGAAAATCTGGGCCGAACACACATACTACGAATTCGATGTTCGATCTGTCGAAAAGACCATGGCCACAATGGTTCAAGAACCATATGTGAACCATATCCCGACCGTAAGCCACTTGCTCGCCCCTTCATTTATCTCATACTAATGACCAACACAGATGACCGGCGGCATTGGCCGCACCAAACTAAGCAACTTTTACCTCCACCACTTCATCTTCAACAACCCCGACGACACCGCTCTAGAGCTGATAAGTCGGACTGTGGGTATTGATCGCGTTGTGGATGAATTTATTTTCTCCTTTACGCATGATAAGGAGGTAGATTGGTTGTATGCTTCACCTTTTAACAAGCTTCCACATATTAGTTAGAACATGTGAGTAGCAGCTGACAAGGATGTGACAGGATCCCTGGCATTCCCCCAACCCACAAACCGCTTCGCATCCCCTTCACATCGGTCGTCAACATCCGCGGCGACCGACTCTACCACGAGCACATCGCATGGGATCAAGCGACCGTTCTCGTTCAATTGGGTCTCCTGCCACAGTGGTTGCCTTTTCCGTACCAACTACCGGACGGGAGGACACCCGCGCCAGGGAAGAAATTTGAATACAAGGTGCCTGCTGGAGGCGTAGAGACCGCGGAGAAATTGAAGGACGAGAGTGCGGTGGAGTCGAATGGGATGTTGTTTGGGGTGGGGATTAGGGAGGTGGATGATTCGTGAACTGGGTTGGAATCGAAGTGTGATTGGAATATGTGAGCATAGTAGTATGGTAGTATAGTAGTATTGAAAGGAATTGCTAATCTTGATAGATTATCATTTTTTGTGGCGTGGCTGGCGGATTTAATATGCGGAAGGAACCTACTACTCGGTCGGTGTGTCACATTCCGGATTCGGAAGGTTGGTTGGTTGCATATTTTGCATGGAGTGGCTGAAAACATCTACTACCATGAAATCTTTCCTGCGCTTCAAATCTGGATCTACAAATAATTTGATACTTGGCTGATCCGGGAGAGGAACGTTACAACAGTTCTCGGGACGCAAGTGATCATTGTCACCTTTATTGAGTTGCGATGATGCGACGTCGGCATAAACTATTGAACTATAACTACACCGTCTCGATTATCTTCCGATTAATACTCTTTTGAGAGTTGGCCAGCACACACTTCCAATGACTCCCCCGTCGGTCCGTTCTAAATATAAGCAGATTACTATCACAATTGACAGTTATTGACAGTTGATATTACACACACACACACACACACACACACACACACACACACCCACAAGCCATACTGTTTGCCGCACACAATCACCATCTTGCGGTGTAATTGCTTACTATGCATCTCCGCAAGAAAGGCTACATACTTCCCCTCAGTCTTCTCTCCTCTATCTCATCATACGCTCACTCCAAATCCTTACCCATCGTAGATCTGGGATATGAGCTACACCAGGCATTTTCTCTCGATGTAAGTACCTACCTGTACCAAACTACTAACCTATTTAATAAACTGATTGATTCGTCCTAGCAATCAACCCAAGCCTATAACTTCAGTAACATTCGCTTCGCCGCACCACCTGTATCTACCCAGCGCTTTCGCCCACCGCTGCCTCCATCAGTAAACAGAATCGAAATCCAGAATGGCTCCGTGGGACGCGTCTGTCCCCAAGGGGAACCTATATGGTCAACAGAAATCTTAATCCCGTTTATTAAAAGCATTTTGACGGACACGCCGTTTAATGGGTCTGATGATATAAGTGATTATCCAATTGTCTGGCCGCCCGAGGATGCAAGAATCACGGAAGATTGCCTTTTCTTGGATGTGGTTGTGCCCAAAAGCGTTTTTGAAGGGTCAGAGGCTGCGCCGGTGCTGGTTTGGTTTGATGGAGGAGGCTTTGTCACTGGTGATAAGACAGAGGTACTGCCTACGGGACTTTTGGAGAGGGGTTCGGAGATTGGAAAGGATTTTGTGTATGTTGCAGTGAATTATCGGGTGAGTAAGATTTCGATTTACCTTCAGGTTTGGTGAGACCGCAGGCTAACCTACGAAGCTGGGGGCATTTGGGTGGCTGTCTGATGGCGAGGGCCTGGGCAATGCTGGGCTTTATGATCAACGCTTAGCATTGGAGTGGGTGAAGAAGTATATTAGTCTGTTTGGTGGTGATCCTGGGCGAGTGACTGTCATGGGTGAGTCTGCTGGAGGTGGTTCTATCGTCCATCAATTGGCAGCATCTACGGGGGTGGAGAGGGAGCTACCTTTTCAGCAGGCGATTATTCAGAGCCCAGGGTGGTATATGCAAGCAGTTGAAGTACAGAAGTCGACTTTACAACACTTCCTGGAATTATTGAACGTGACCTCTCTCGAAGAGGCCCGTCAACTTCCATCAAATCAGCTGATTACTGCTAATGCCTACCAGATAGCTACTACATCTGTGTACGGAACATATACTTATGGGCCGGTTATTGATAACACATTCATAACAGATCTTCCAAGCAGGATTTTACTGGATCCAGATTTCAAATGGAAGAACATCCGCGTGATGACAAGCCACACAATCAATGAAGGGCTGACTTTCACTCCGCCAGCAGGCATGAACAGCTCAGCCTTCCAATCCCTCATCGAGACTTATATTCCAAGTCTATCACCCGAAACTGTGGATCAAATCGTCCAATATTGGTATCCCCCGGTCTACAACGCTTCATCCTTATCCTCGGAGACATTGGGATATAGCGATCCCTTAGAGCGGACATCGGTCTTCATGAGCGATGCATTCTTTCAATGCAAGACCCTCTACCTCGATAATGTATTCGATACCTCATACGCGTCGGTATTCAGCGTGCCACCGGGTGTGCATGCCCAAGATGTGGCATTCAACTTCTGGGACCATTCCCAGCCCGATACGGAACTGGGGCTATTCAACGCAAGTCTCGCGCTGACCATGCAGGATTATATCATTACGTTTTTGAATCAAGGCTTTCCCACTTCGGCCGAGAATATGGCCATCGAGTGGGAGAAATACTCGAAAGATGGGCGCGTGATGAATCTGGGACTGCAAGATATTGCGATCACCTCCGATACTGTGGACTCGGACCGGTGTCGATTCTGGTGGAACATTACTGGATGAAGAGAATGTATGCCTTTTCCACACTATCGCCCCGTTTCATTTTTCCTGCTGGTTAGTCTGGGCCCTGCAGAATCAGTACGGTTATTTGGTGCTTATAACTGAGTTGGATATCGAATGCAACAGCAATCTGCTACTCTGTCAGTGATCATCACGGCCTTGAGCCGCATTTGAACCTCTCAAAATTCAGGACCCGGAGACCATTGAGTCGTTCGGCAAATAGTCTAATTGCAGTGAGACATGGCAGAATTCTCAGACCATAAAATGACAGCGATAAATGCTAGTAAAAATAGCAGCAATTTCTCCGCTAGCGCTAGCGCTAGAATGCTTGGTCACAGATGCCACAGATTCGAAGAGCTTGACTCGATACGTGCCAGTCGCTAGGCCCACTACACAGTATCTAAATGAGGCACAGCAACGGTGACTACTGTAGATAGCGACACCGTACGGAAGGTGAAGCCGAAGCAAAGAAAAAGAGTCTATGTTTGGTGCCTACTACTTACTTAGTATCCCGAAGTTCCTCAACTATGCCGAGACGACCAATTGCGATCGGAGATAACCACGGCTGCCTAACCTAGTAAGTAGTAAGGCGGTCGCCGCGGAGTCCGTCGGTAGGCACTACTCCGTAGGCAGACTCGCGATTATTCAGAAAAGCGTCGTCGGGCATAAGAGAAGAGAACCAGAACACATCGGGCGATCTTCGGGGGCGCATTCGGCAAGACAAAGGGGCGGAGAGAGTCATGTCCGAAGGTATTCTTCTATCCTATCCAAATTGTAAATTCGTTCACATGATCGGCAGGAAAGAAAATTTCTTCCACTATTCCAATCTTTGTGCTGCATCTCCACGGTCGGAACAGCCCGTCATGGAGAGCGAGTGCCATTGGTAAAGTGTCAGGGGTAGTTAGTAATAAAAGGTTAAAAAAGAGTAGTAATTTGGCCAGGGGCAGAGCAGGCAACCCGTGTCTTACTGCCAGCCAGCCAGCCAGCCAGCCAGCTAGTTCGATAACCTCGTTGCTAAGCTTCCCATGGGTAGGACTGCATTGGCTGGTCGGTTTATGCCTCAATGGCCCGTGGGGGCCAGTGAGGCTTTTGCCATTGGGTAGATTTGTCCTGTCGGCGAGTTGGAGTTTGAAAGTTGAGGGGTTCATCGCGTGCAAAGTGGACCCTGACGGACTGGGACTGGGACTGTCTCACGCTAAATCCAAGACAGTTGGGCCAGGAATAGATAGATGGCCACTGGAAGTGGCAGAGTCGAGTTTGGTAGTACTGTAGATAGCCGCTAGACTACTTTGTAGATAGACAGAGCATGTGCTAATAGTCTTAATTAGCTAACCAATTGGGGCGGAGGGCAGTGTTTTGAGCGCCGTCGTTCCATGATCCGAGTGTGCTTTGATGTGAGGATGAAGATCGGTCGCTTTTCTGGATGATTCGAATAAGACGGATCGTTGCATTTTGCATCAGCGTGGCTGACGGGGGTTAGTTTGATGGTTATATCTTGGGGGCGGTTTGGCGTTTTGGCGTTTTTACAGTAAGAGAAGGATTTGAAAGAAAGGAATGAAAGAGGTGAAGGAAGCGAAGGCGAGGGAGTGCCTGGCCCCCAAAAAGGGCAACCATGAAACCAACGGGACTGCGACGAGGCTGTGTTGGACTGGCAGTCGCTTCCGTCGCGAGGAAAAGATGATCCGCGCGATCAATCAGAACGGGCGGAGCAGCCCATCATCTGCCATTTTACCTGCATTTCCCTCGGTGAATCAGGGTCGCTCAGCCTTAGCTTAGTAGCTTCATCCTCTTTCTTTTGGACCAAGTTGCACTGACCCAATCACTTTTCGGCCCCTCCGTTAGCGCTGAATGTTGTCATTGTGGACTGATTTGATGCGCTTTTATATGCTTTGCCCGGTCGCTCTTCGTTCTGCATTAGTTCCTCAGTCTCTCCTTACTTGCTTTTTGCCAATAACAAAGAAAAAGTACTTCTATAAGCTTTTTCCCGCGAGTCTCCGTCATTCTTTACCACTGTTCAGTTCATCCCTGACAGCCTGTCACTCTTTCGACATCCATCCCCCATCTACACTACACTACACTACATCCACACCACCATGTTGTTTCGCCTTCTATCCGCAACTGGTGCCTTGTGCATCACTACTGCGGCCGCCGCAGCTCTGCCTGCACCTCAGCTGCATTCTACCGCTGGTTCTCATCAAATCAACCTTCCTGCTATCCCCTGCGCTTTCTCGGAGTCGACTTGCACGGAATCCTTTGACTCTGGTTCACAACTGGTATGTACTCACGTCACAATGCAGTCGACCATCATCCCAAACTAATCATCTCGGATAGACCATCGATTTCTCCACCCAAAATGGCACCCTCCGAGCCAACCAACAACCCATCTTCCCCGCTACCGTCCCTATGCAGTTTACAGCAGATCGCAAGTGGGAGTCATTCGTTCAGCCAGTTCAGGTCTCCTACTCGTTGGATGTACAGCCACTGCCTGCTCGCCCTGGCGCTGGTCTGGGCGATATCTACTACCTCAAGCTCCGTCTTTTCGACCAGCACGGTCAAGCTGCCACACAAAACAGCATTGCCATCAGTCTAATCAGAGACGCCCAGGGTGGTCTGCAGCTGACGATGATCGACCCGAACGGTAGCCGCGATTACGGTCATGGAAACCGTGTGTGGCAGATGAAGGCCTGGAAGGAACAACTCGAAACATACTACAACCATGCCAAGGAGGCCGTCAAGAACTGCGTCAAGCCGGAGCACCCGAAGCACGAACACGAGCATGAACATGAACACGCCCACGAGCACCCTCACAAGATGGCCGGATCTTCAGACGCCCACCCCCACCGCCGCCCTTCCTCCAACAAGTACTACCCCTCCAGCCAGAGCGGCCACTTTTTCTGGACCGGACGTGAACAGAGCATCATGAAGATCGCCCGTCCGGTGATCCTCCCCGCCCTGATGGGAATCATGGCTGGTGGAGTGGCCTGCATTATTGGATTCCTGCTGGGTCGTCTCATCATCTCCATCTACCTGTGCGCCGCTAGCCGCCGGCAGCAGCAGCAGCAGAACATTCCCATCATCAACATCGAAGACGGCGAGCCTATCTCCGAGAAGGAAGCCCTTCTCGAACCCTACAGCGATCAGGAACCTGAGTCGCGCCAATCATTCCCATGATCTTTATTTCTTTCTTTCTTTCTTTCCTTCATCTCTATATATACCTCACGCCCACCTGTACATTACAGCCCTTTCCTTCTGTCTCTGTTTCCACGTTCATGATATCCAATGCAGCATAGCATACATACCCTTTGTGATTTTGTCCATATGAATACTAGTTAGATGAATTCATGTGTCCACCCGAAATATAAACCCCTTTACTTCATTTAATATTCAGCAAGGCCGGCTGGCCCAATGGTAAGGCGCTTGACTACGGATCAAGAGATTGCAGGTTCGAGTCCTGCGTCGGTCATCTTTTTGAATTTTTGCTGGTGTAAGAAAAAAATCTCTGCTTTGGATCGTGTGGGTATTAAGCGGATATCGACCGACCCAAACTCTACTTGTTCTGCGGCGGAATTTAGACCCACCATGTCTTGGCATTTGCTTTTTGCTGATGTGAGAGAAGGGGCAGAGGATGCGAAGCTCATGCCCGGCTGCATTGCAGTGCATTGCATTTTCAGGGGTCGTCATTTGGGTATTTCCTTTAAGCCTTGCCAAGGTTGGATGGAGGGGTTGTTTGGGGCCGTTAGGGTGTTGGTGTGCTGGGCGTTCGTGTAGGGTGGGGTGTTTGATGTGGTCATCCGAGGTGGAATATATTTCTGTACAAACACTAGTACAATGATAAGTTCATTCTATCGTTGTGTATACTAAACTAATATAAACTCTACTGCTTGAATGACATGTAAGTTAGAGAGAAAGGCCTTCATGATGTCTTGAGGAATTCAAGTCTACTTATCAGTACATAGATTAACTATGCACCAATATCAAGACACACATAGCTACTCCAACCATTGTAAACTGAATAATACTTGAAACAAATACGCAAGTCTAGCAACACCCTCAACATCCCACATCACCTGTATCCAAATCTCACCAACCCAAAAAAAGACCCAATAACCCCAACACCCAGAACAATAATCCCTATCCCTCCCACAGGCTTCGAAAGAGCCCTACTATGCCCCGCAGAAACCCTCACAGTCTCGGCCATATCCCAATCCCAGATCACTGTGAGGTTCTCATCTGGTGTGTCCCAGTCATAGGTCACGGTGGCGTTGGCTATTTTGGTGTCGCTGCGGTCTGCTAGGCAGGGTCTGAGGAGGGTGAAGATGAGGAGACATAAGAGGATGAGTCTGATTATTGAGGAGGATGTTGTTATTGTTCGATTGGGATGGAAGAGGAGTTTGTGGAGGAGGTTGGGTTTGAAGTTGAGCATATTGATTTTGGAAATGGGGTATAATGTCATGGATGTTGATGGGAGGTAGTTATTGGGATGTCTGGAGGGAGGTATTTGGGTGGATGAAAATATTCATCTTGAGGGTAGAGGGTAGTGTGTCGACTGATCATGGCTGCATCAGAATTAGATGTGGTTGGGCGTCATTGTGAGGTTTTCTTCTCTGTTTTATTTTAGCGGTGATATTAGCTCATGAAACCGTGCTGATGTAGGTAACCCTCTTAACCAATATTTCGTGCGTGCCTAAAATTGCATTAGTAAAGATTCTATATGCTTTCCTTGGTGATGTTGATTTAGTTGATAAGGTATACCCACTTAGCGGACACTCCACACCTTCCAATATAGTAGAGAAGTAGATGCGATCTCGTTTCAGGTCAGTTTGATCAGGAATGCATGATGCCATGTGCTTTGACCACAGGCCTGAGAAACTAGGCCTCAAAGAGTACCGGCAGACATCCTGGATCATCATCATCTTCTTCTTCTTCCGCGCCGAGCATCGAGAAAGCTATACACCTCGGTCAGATAGTATAATCACTATCATCACAGCGCGTGATATTCGGGGGACAGCCGGGTCGATAATACTGAGGGAAACCCAAAGAAAATTCTAATTAGTTGATTATGTGCAGTATTTGCTGCTTTCAAATCTAAGAGAGAATGCTATCAAAGACACTGCAACCTCAGAAGTAACAACAACAGTGCATCAATCTCAAAGAAAACACAGACAAAGACAAATGCCCCAAACACAAACCACGATTATCCAAGGGACACTCCACTATGCCGGCACTGTGGGAAGTCCAGGCATAAGCATATGCTAAGCAGCCACTACTCTTCTAGCCCTGTAAGCTCATTCCCCATTCTGCAGCTACCTCCAGCTATGAGGTCGTGCAACGATAAAAAAGCTTCCTCTTCAGCCACTGACTAATTGACATGACCTATTGCTGTTAACAACACCACCCCTTGCTGGCGCATATTTGCGATGCCACGTCCGCCGGATCTGATGTCACCGCAGATCTGCGACCAATGATCCTCCGCAGCTTCATTATCGGGACGGCACAACGGTCCCTTTGACATCATCGCGGAAACACACATCCACTCGCATTGTTGATGTCGCCCAGAATATCGTCATCCTTCTACCATGGGTCCAATCTATCCTTTCATTTCTGGGGTAAACATGAACCACGTGGGCATTATAGGATTCCTCCAACCATCAACAAGACATCTCATGCTGCCGCAACCTATGATCATCGACTAATTGAATGAGCTCTCTTCACCGTCTCGCATTTATCGCCACTTACGTATGCCCTTAATTCCTAGTATTGTGTAGACGAAAGGAAAGCTATATACATCACAACTACCACCATCCCGACCGTCTACAATCTCATCTCCAATATCCACTAACGCAGACACTCGCCTCAATCGCCCCACTATACTCTATCACCAAGCTACAGGATCGCCAACATGCCCCTCTTCCACTCCTCCTCCCACTCCAGCTCCGACCGGAGCAGTATCGACGATCCCAACACTACATCCTCCCACTCTCACCGTCGCTCCCGCCGCTCCTCCGGCTCCCCCTCCCACTACTCATCATCATCCACTTCTCCTTCCTCCTCCCGCCACCACAATCACTCCCTGTTCGGCCACAGCCGGAAGAACGAAGACCCTTCTATCCTTGCCGCAAAAGAGCAGGTCTCTCGCGCAGAAGCGGCTGAGCGGGAGGCTGATCGGGCACTGATGGCTTCGAAACGGGCAGTGCGTGAGGCTAGGGAACATGTGAGAAGGTTGGACGAGGAAGCGAAGATGGAGTAAGTTGCTTCCTTGCTCATTGTCTTTTTCTTTTGGTCAGACATGCTAATACTTGATGCTAGGGCACGCGCTGCGAAAATGAAGCAGGATCAGGTGAAGTCCATTACGAAGAGGGCGAAGCCCTTGGGAAGTATGTGATTCATTCGTCTAATATAAGTGTATGTGATGGCACTGACTGAAGGTTCCAGGACATGTGTGAGGTCGCTTTCTGATAGTCGATACGGATCCTTGTCGACAGTGGAGGGTATGGCAGACCGAGTATATGACGTTATAATTCTCAGCATGTATTTCTATCGTACTGTTCCTTTATAATTCGGTTCGGGTATCGCTTCGTGGGATTCTTTGCAGGATACGAGTCATGAGTTATGATTGATACTTTAATTATGTTTGTATTATACTTTTGGGCTTGGTTGAATATCAATTTGCATATTATGACGAAACGAATTGTATCTGCTACTTAGATATTGACTGTTTGAGTTTTGAGGATTGAGCGAGCTTGGACTGACTCTAGTTAGAAGCCAAGATATGAATTATGCAGTGCAGAAGACAAAGGAGAGCCAGAAATGTACAACCGTAAGAGTCTGTAGAAGGTTATATCTCTTCGTAGTGGAGGTCAGGTGATAGAAGGTGTGCCTTCTACCGCTTCAAAGACTCCTTCTCTTTCCTGGTCTTCCCGCACGAAAGCCATCAGAACCAACAGCAGGAAGCTTGTCTTGCTTGCTGACGATCAACGACTACATCCATTCCAAGATACGTAAACAGGAGGTATATATGTGACTTCCATGATATTCCTCCACTTGAAGCATCAACGAAGGGGCGATATCAGCCAAATGACTGTCTCTCCACCCCACAGTAAGTCTAAATCAGAACATTCAGACTCTCAAGAGCCAATTCCATCACGATGAAGCCAATCTATCCTCCTTGATAATATCAACAGCCTTTTCCGCCACAGCATACACTGTCGTCTGGATATTCCCACGAGGAATTAGTGGCATCACACTGGCGTCGACCACGCGCAGATTTTACAGCCATACACCCTCAACCGATCATCAACCACACCCCCAATCTCTTGCGGCATCATAGCTGCTGTTCCTGAAACATGATAATGACATATTATGCGGTCCCGCGTGAGCTCACGCGCTGTTTCCAAGCTCGTCACACGCGTCGGATAGTGCAGTCGACGGCCATTCGGCTTCAGCAGCGATGCCATGGGCTCCGTGGCTGCCAGCGTCTCAAGCCACATTACATGACGCGCTTGGATCTCCAGATCAAGTGGATGTGACAGCATACGAGGGTCGAAAGTCGGCAGCACTGTTGGATCTGACGAGGCTAGATGTACCGAACCTCGGGAAAATGGCCAGTTCAAGACTGCCACTATACTAACGTAATTTCCGGGCTCTGACATGCTAAAGGTGCCTCTAGGATCGGAGCCTTTGTCAGGCGTCATTTGGAATGGTGCTAGCGTATACTGGCACGTTGGCTCGTCGTCATCTTCGAGAAATCGGCGAAGAACACGGTACTGCGCCGTCTGTCTCGCGGAACCTTCCTCTTTCAGGTGCTTTTCTATGAGGCCGGATAGCTCGCCGGTTTCCAATTCCGGGTGAGTCATAAAAGCCGAACCTAGTGGATGGGAGCCTAGTGGTCCAGCTCCCGAAGACTGCCATGCTTCCATGGCGGCTTTGGCTACCTCAGGATCCCGTAAAGCTTCCCCGGTTATTTGACCATCGGCAGCCTCCCAGGTAAATGGGACGAAGGCCATGTTCTTGCAGGTTCTCGCCTACATTGGGATTGTCGATGATAATATCGATACCATGCGCTTGCAGAAGCTTTGCGTCACCGATGCCTGAGAGCTCTAGCAGATGCGGTGTCTTGATTGTGCCAGCCGCTAGGATAACCTCTGCTCTTGCGGCCACCGTGCGTTGGATTCCATCAATCCCTCGAAACTGGATACCGGTCGCGATAGCTTGGCCGTCATCGACACAGGCTGTCTTGTCGAGCAGAACCTTCTCCACAAATGCTTCGGTGATGACTCGGAGATTCGAGCGTTGCGCTATTTCGGGAGTATAATAGGCGACGCCCGCATGACTACGAGCCCGTGAGGTCCCGTGGATAGTAGCCGGATTGCAAAAGGCACCCTTGGCCAGACCAGACATTGGGTCGCCTGTCAGCCGATGATTCAAAGCCTCAAAGGTCCGGGGCCAGGCAGCCGTGAACGCCGGATAAGGCCCATTACCAAACGAAATCTGGATGGGTCCATCGGTCCCTTGAACATCCAGGTCGACATAGTCAAGCGATAGCTGGTCACGAATCTCATCCGACGGCGGTATGAATGTTTGCGATTTTCGCATGTAGGTGGAGAGAGACTTCCAGTTCCAGCCCGAGTTTCCCAGCTGCTCCCATGAGTCGATATCGCTACGGCTAGGGTAGATTGCCATGCCCATGTTGATAGCCGAGGAACCTCCCAATGTTCGACCGCGGGACTGAGCAAGGCGTCGGCCATTAAGACTTTCCTATTCCACATTAATATGAGGGACCATGTATTGCAAAGGCTTGCATGTCTACCTGAGGTTCACTGATAAGGCTCCAATCGAATTCAGGGTCAAAATAGGTACTGGCCGAGAGGCCCGGAGCTGCGATACGCGGATCGTCGACACCATCGCTTCCAGCTTCCAACACCAGAACGCTGACTGCGGGGTCTTCTGTCAATCGGCTGGCCACCACCAACCCGGAAGTTCCTCCTCCAACAACGACATAGTCGTACACGGGCGGGATATCGGACAAAGACGAGGTATCTCTTTCCATCATGATGGACTTGTATATGGGTTGTCATGAGGTGAGAGCAGAAGAGCCGGTCAGTTGCACCCATTTATAATATAATCCAGCTGAATCAATCGACGCTTGGGTCAGTTGAGAGTAAGCATAGCGGGGTCACGGCTCGAATTGATACGAGAAACTGACTGACTTGTCAGATGTGGCTATCTGCCCTGAAGTTATTGGATATCGTCGCCCGAGAGCCCAAGGAAAACCCGGCTTACGCAGCGGCGGCGCTTAGTGTTATCAATGCTGCACCGAGCAAGCATCACCGATCATTTGCTGCAACATTGGCCCTTCGAGGTTCACCACTTCAATTTCACTTTAATTAATGAGGTAGCAAAGCAAGCAACATGATATGCTGCGAAATCGTAACAAGGCCCTTTGATTGCCACGAAGATCTCCTATAGCAAATTGTACGACTTTCCCGGCGGTCCCAGATTTGAAGCACATTGCAGAATGAGCTGCAATGCAAAACTTGAAGATGCAGGTTGTTTAACAAGTCTAATATATGAAGCTAGTATCTCCAGTCCAAGCACCACCAGGCCGAAGCAAGGGTCTAGGCAGCGGCCAGGCAGCAACGACGCAAGGAATGCAGGCTCCAACCCAATTGGCCAAGAGCTCCAAGGATGATGTTTTCCCCGAGCTATAAGTAACATATACTACCCATAGGAGCAATCCTCACACGCTTCTTAAGATTCAGGTTAGACCAGCTGGCTTTGCCAATCGCCATTCGATATTCACGCTTAAGATCACCCCATCACCCTTTCGAGCCCTTACAAAGAAGCCCACCATGACCGAAATATCGAACGCCCAGAAGGCCCAGCTACATGAAGTTGCACAATTGATGCTGGAGATCTACCAGACTCTTGCACAGATGCGGTACCTTGATCCCAAGACGATTTAAACTGGGCCTCACGACATCTCCAAAATGCGCCTGGTGTACGAGAAGCATGGGCTGGACCCAGCTATCATCTACCCTCTATAGCATTCTTCCCTATGTGGACTCACAAATTGCAAACACGAGCTTTTTTGATGGCAGTTCTTTCATGGACTTTCGTGACGAGTCCTGCGTTGAAGACGGCCGTGATCCTTTATGCCACGGGCCCTCGGAAGAGGACGGAGACGGGCCATACATGCGTCCCTGGATGACGGCATTATCACAGATGGGAAACCACACAAGTGTTATCATATATGATGCACGAAAGCACCGCATCTGGATTCCTGATCCTGTGGAGAATTGCAGCTGCGACCCGGCGCTATACGATGTGCCGAATGAAGCGCCCGAGAGCGAGAAGGGGACTAACTTTGAGCACCTTCCTAGCAGGCCTGCGGGAGATGTATTGCGGGATATCGCCAGATGGTATCGCGAACTCAAGGTACTACCAGGTGGAAGCGACGATAGCTGCATTGAGTGGGATGCTGGAAGGCTGGATGTGAAAGGGCTGTATCGGATGCACGGATGGCCGGGCAACTTCGATGGCGATGCATTTCAGGTGGATCAACTAAGGGCTTTAGGTCTTGCCAGTGTCGGAAAGTACGCAAACCAAATATTGCTACAATTAAAAAGGTGTATGATCTCAGTGGAAGAAAGTGATCGCAAAATCGCAAGATTGCAAAAATCACTTGCTGCAGCGAAGAGCAAGGACGAAGAGTGGATGTTCCGGATGGAGCTTTGGAAAGCAGAAAGGTCTTTTCGCAGAAACAACAAAGATCTCCTGGAGGAGGAGCGCAAATTAATCGCCCAGGAATACTCTCAGACTAAGAGAAAGCTCGAGTCGGCGCAAGTCAGAATGAGGGGCGCTAGGAGATGGTTGGAAGAAAAATCCAAGGACGCCGATGCCTATACTGTTAAAACAGTACGAGAACGCCTTCGCGGATATGAGCAGGAGGCAGCACTCTACGAAAAGGTCCAGAAGGCGACCGAGGTAGACAAAAACCAATTAGGCAACTTGGGCGATAAAACAGGGTTCGCCAAGGAGAAAGAGGCCTCTTTATGGAAAGACGTGGCCCTACATTTTCAAGGGGAGCTCGACGCGCTACGGGAATGGGCTGCTCAAATTCCCACTGATGCACGCAAAACTGAAGGCTAACGAGCAGATCCAAGATTATGAACAGTCGGTCGCGGCAAAGACAGCTACTACATGGCTGACCAAGCCGAGATTGTTTGAAGCTCGGCGTTGATCTACTACTACCCTTGGGTATTATTTATATGTTTTACAAGGGGAACCATGTCTAGTATGATCTGTTTTATACTGTTTATTTGCAGAGGTCTTCCTCTAGAACTAAATAGCATATGTCCCATCTGAACGACCCCATTATCACTCTCTACCTCTGCTTCTCATAAGCAACAGTGCTGCCCATTAACACATTCATTGCGCGTCGCAGCATCTATAGTAGTAGAAAGGATGTCGCCACGCACCGTACTGCGCTGAAATATACTACGACCACATCACTACATTACATGATTCCTCTTCATACGCAACTAGTACCCCTACAATTTTATCGTATTTGCTATGGCGTTGACTATTGTATAGCTTGCCGTGCTCGACAGAAAAAGTCATTTAGCCAACGTACTATCATCGAGATCATTGAAAGCTCCGCCATTGCTGTCCCCCTACTTTCAAGTGACTATTTCTGGATCAACTGTGCTCTTAGGTGTGTCGCGAGTATTGAAGATAAAAACGAACAGAGTTGTAGATATGACGTTCTATAAGGAATTAGTTAAGTTAGCTGCCTTGTTTTCTGGTTGTTTGTTTGGAAGATAGAAGGGGACAGAATACCTTGACTGGATTCCGTAGAGATGGACGGTGAGCTGAGTACGGGGTGGTCTGAGAGGGGTTATTAGATTAGACGAATGATTCATAGTATGTTTTGTTGGTTGTTCAGAGTTGTTTATTGCAGTGAGGTTGACTGGGAGTAGAATACATAATTTGTATGGGGTGTAAAGCTCTTGAGAATTGATAGTGGAGGACATCTTTTTAGTTCAACTGACAAATCGTAGGAAGATCGTTCGACGGCACTGTCATTAGCTCTCATATTGTCTCAGTTCAGTCCTAGTCTAGTCTAGTTAATCAATGGCCCAACCACGGTCGCCAACTAGTCCCCGTCTTGATACAAAAGAAAGCAATTCTATCTGCGACCAGCACAGATGGAGCAGACATAGATATCCCAGTGAGGTAGATCAGAACAAATTTGAAATGGTAACCCTCTTTGCATTCACTGAAGCTGGCAATTTCTCTCCTCGCCATCCTGGTAGCCATCGCCATCTTCGCTATCCTTGTTATTCAACTCCCGAACTTGTCGTCGTACTCGGTCTCATCAACATCTTCCTGCTCATGATCATCCTGAAAGGTCTCATCTTCAACTACTTCATAACCACCCATATCGTCCTCGTCGCTGTCGTAGTATTCCTCCTCCTTCGCTCCAGACTTGTAGCCAGAAGACCGAAGTATATGGCTGGGGCCGTTTTGTGCATTCACTTCAGCGAAGAAAGGGTGATCAACACGAAGAGGCCTACGCTGGCAAATGTAGCCCATAGGCGTATGAGAAATGTCCTGGCCTTGCCGGCGAAGGGCTAGCCATTCTTGCAAGAAACTCATTTTGTTTGTCAACTCTCGTGACGCAAGGTTACTGACATCTAGCCAGTCAGACCCCAGCTGTAACTGTTCCATTATCCCTTCGTACTCGGCATATCCGAAGTACAGCCGTCCGGCGAGAATCCCTAGTTCGAACGATAACCATGATGGCAGAGCATGTGTTGAAGATAGGGGCGGGATTGAATAATAGTCAAGTCGTTCAAAATGCAACATGCGTCTCGTAACCGGTGCTGCATATGTGATGAGGTGCGTTGACGAAGCACCGCAAGTACGCAGAATGGGGATCAATGCTTCTGCCTCTTCGGGAATGATAACAACTGCTATCTCACTTTCTGTATTGCAAAGTAGCCAATTGACAGGACGCTGTAGATGATGTCAGTTGAGGAAGATACGTTAAGCGCTATATATGGCAGTCTTACCGTGAACTCATCGCCTGTCTTATGTTTCGAATTGACGGTCCTTGTGAACTCCACAGATACGAGCAAATGAGGCAGTAGACTACTGCCCTTGATTCCGAACTTCTTTGACAACTGGGTTCCATGAAGCAAACTTGCCGCAGTAACGGTTCCAAAGCCTTGCAGCTGACCAGTCCGGGCGAAATGGGATAAGGCTGGATGTAGCCCAGGGAATCCGTAGGCTTTCAATCGCTGAGGGCGTTGCACTTCCCTCTCCTCCTCTATTTCGTAAGCAACCTCCCGTTCCTGTTCAACCTCTTCCAAAGCCGAGCTGGTAATTGTGCTCTGCAGGAGGTCAGATTCACTCCGCCTATGGTCAAGCTGTTCTAGGAATTCAGCCACCCTTCCGGTCGCCGGCGGTAAAGCAGCCAGTAATCCCCTCTCTTCGTCACTAGAACCACAAAGACGCGGCTTGTACAGCTGTTCTAGAGTCTGCTGCTCGGGTTGCTGTAAAATCTCCAAGTATTTCTCACGATGCGTCTTGTTTTGGACGAAGTCTGGGAATTCCGATGCAGCTTGGATGCGGCGGCAGAAATCAACACCCTGGGAGTGGAATAGTGGCTCTAGCTCGGCATTATTTGCGCACGTTTGGTACAGAAGCCAATATACCATATGAGAAGAATCAATTTTATCGTTATGGTTCTTCTGGTTAACATCCAAGATACTTTGATGGACCTCGGGAGGCGCGATAAAAGTAACAGATTGCGTGGTGCCAAGCTGACGAAGCCTCATGGCCGCTATAGACAATAATTAGCAAGCATTTTACTACTAGTAATATCAAAATGGAGACCAAAGAAGAACCTACCCTGTACAGTCTTATCCTTAGTCTGGTTAAGGCCCAGTGTTAGAGCCCCTTTGGCATTAGCAGGAAGCTTGAGGTCGGTGCCTCTGGTATGAGCCTCATCAAGATAAATAAGGCAATCTTGCAGGTTATCGGCGTATGGGGTAGCTAGAAGTGGCGATTTTCTTCCGATCCTGTACCAAACCCAAGGCTTATTGTCAGTGTCAAAGTATACTGCAGCCTGCGGTGCCGTATCCTTCTCCAGCCACGTCTTGACCACAGTCAAGTTATCCATCTCCAAGATGAAAGCACCAGCATCTATGAGAACACGGATTTTGCTGTCTGCTAAGTCGGATAGAAGTTCAGCTTCAGATCGTCGTCTCCCGTTTGTGACAGCGTGCTTGTACTCCCTGTTTCTGCTTTGGAGTAGGTAAGTAAGGACTTCAGCATTCGTGTGCAACAGTTCCGGCAAATCGTGTTGCTTAATAGTCAACGGCAGGAGTCTGCGATTGTCATTGGTCCCACTGAAGCCG